CATGAAAACAGACTCAATAAAGAGAAAACTGACGAGGAAAAGCCAAACTGAAATGATGCTGAAAAGAAAAATTAAAAAAAAAATGCAATAAGCCAAATGAAAAGTCCAGTGGCGAACTTCATCAGCAGTGTGGATAATGCGGATAAAGAGTATCAGAGCTTGAAGACAATGGAAAGGAACTGGATCATTCAGCAAAAGTCAACAGGGTTCAAAGGAACTTTGGGCTACCATGAAAAGACCAGATCTATGAATTCTGGAGATAGAAGAATTCCCAAATAAAGCATTTACAAGATAATTTCCCATTCTAGAGACAGTAGTACTCATCCAGATATATAAGAGGTCTAACAGAACACCAAATGGAAAAGACCAGAAAAGAAACTCTCCACGCATATTACAGTTAAAACTGTAAAAACAGAATAGAGAGTGCTTTTCTTAGTTAACTTCAGCTGTCGACCAGTGTCATCTGTGGGAGTCCCAAGTCTGTGACTGATGATTAAATATTGTCTTGAGAGGGACATTCATGGATCTTCCTAGGAAGGGGAAAGAGATACGATCTCCTGGGTAAACTGGGAGGGGTGGGATGAGAACATGAGGGAACTGGATGGTTGACTTGGGGGAGGGACAGAGAGAGAGCAAGGAAAGAGCTATCTTGATAGAGGGTGCAATTATGCAATTAGGGAGAAAACTGGTGCCAGGGAAATTCCCCAAGAATCCACAAGGATGACCCCAGCTAAGATTCCAAGCATGAGTGGAGAGGGTGCCTGAACTGGCCATCTCCTGGAATTAGATTGCTGACTACCCTGTCATTCATGATAGAACCTTCATCCAGTAACTGATGGAAGCAGATGCAGAGATTCACAGCCAAGCACTGGGCTAAGCTTCTCCAGTTCAGATGAACAGAGGGAAAAGGGATTATATGAACAAGGGGGGTCAAGAGCATGAGGAGGGAACCCACAGAGACAGCTGACCCAAGCTAGTGGGAGCTCATGGACTCTGGACTGACAGCATGGGACCGAACTAGGCCCTCTGAATGAGGGCATCAGTTGTGTGACTTGGGCAGTTTGTGGGGCCCCTGGCAGTGGGACCAGGATTTATCTCTAGTGCATGAACTGGCTTTTTGGAGCCCATTCCCTATACAGGGATACCTTGCTCAACCTCGATGTAGGAGGGAGGGGCTTGGTCCTGCCTCAACTTGATATGCCAGACTTTGTTGACTCTCCATTGGAGGCCTTATCCTCTCTGAGGAGTGGATGGGGGTGGGAGTAAGAGGGGAAGAAGATGTGGGGAGATAATAGGAGAGGGGAGAGAACTGTGGTTGATATGTAAAATGAAAAAAAAAATTTAGTTAAAAAAAATTGTCTTGATTGATGATTAATGTGGGAGGCCCAGCCCACTGTGGGTAGTACCATCCCCTAGCTAGGTGATTCTGGGCTGTATAAGAAAACTAGCTGAGCATGAGCCAATGAGCAAATCTAAATGTGAGCCAGCAAACAGTGTTCCTACAGGTTCCCACCCTGACTTGCCCTAATGATGCACTGTGACTTGCAAGTGTAAGCCAACTAAATCCATTCCTCCCCCAAGTTTCTTTTGGTCAGCATGTTTAATTACAGTAACCAAGTAAACCAAGCATAAAGTGGATGATTTGATACAAAAATTTTAAGTGGCTTAGATTTATATTCTGAGTTCTGAAAGACAAAAAAACTGTCAATCCATACTTTTATACTCAGCAAAACTACCTATCCTAATTGAAGAAAAGATTAAAAATTTACAGGATTGGGGGCTGGAGAGATGGCTCAGAGGTTAAGAGGCTGCTCTTCCAAAGGTCATGAGTTCAATTCCTAGCAACCACATCTTGGCTCACAACCATCTGTAATGAGATCTGGTGCTCTCTTCTGGCATGCAGGCATACATGCAGATAGAACACCATATACAAAATAAATAAATTTTAAAAATTTTATAGGATTAAAACAAACTAATGGAATTTATGACCAATCAGTCAAATAAAAGGATAATGGGAAGAATACTGCAGAGAACATACCCAAAAGGTCATGGGGAAAAATAAAATACCACACCAACAAATCAAAAGAGATTTAGAAAAACAGTAAAAAAAAATAAACAAAATGATAGGAACCAATACACACCTTTCAATAGTAACTATAAATATTAGTGGTCTCATTCCCCAACAAAAGACATAGACTAGCAAACTGTATTTTAGAAAACAAGATCCATCTTTTTGTTTTCTCTCACTGGATTTTTTACACATCTCAGAATCTCCCGCCAGGGATGGCACTGCCAACAGTGGGTTGGGTCTTCTCACATCATCTAACAATGAAGACAATCCTCACAGACATGGCCACAGACCAATCTGATCTAGGCAATCTACCCATTGAGAGTGCACAGATGACTCTGAACTACATCAAGTTGACAGCTTAAACTAAATAAGCCAGCTACGAGGAATGTTTCTCATCTATATATTCAGAACTACCTTAGTAACAATCTCCCTCAATAAGACATCTATTTGAATTTTCAAAAATATTCAAGTAATTCTTGCTAATATACATGCAATCAAACAAAAATATCACTGCATGTGTTCATTTATCTATGAAAAAACAAATATAGGGAACTCACAAAATATCTAAGTATCGATGAATAGATTCTACACTTATTTCACAATGCATCACCACTTTCTATATATAACTAACTAGAAGAAGGATTTCTCAGAGTCTCCATAAATATGGCCAACACAAAGGGCAAAATAAACTGGGAATCCTAGTTCTTGTTTTTTGTTTTGTTTTGCTTTTTTTGTTTTGTTTTTCAAGCCAGGGTTTCTCTGTGTAACAGTTCTGGCTGCCCTGGAACTCAATTTGTAGACCAGGCTGGCCTCAAACTCACTGAGATCTTCCTACCTCTTTCTCCCAAGTGCTGGGATTAAAGACGTGCACCACCACGGCCCAGCTTTTGTTTCTTGAGATGTCTCTCTACCTAATCCAAGCCAGTCTTGAAGTCAGTATGTAGCCTAGGCTGACCTTGAATTTATGATCCTCCTGCCTCATCCTCCACACCCCATATCCCCAATTAAACCTCAAGTGTTTATAGGTATGTATCACTGTAAACTTAATCTGGGTTCTTTATTATCATTAGCATATATCATTTGTATAAAATAATGGTTTTCAATATGACATTTTCAAAATTGTACACAATATTCGTTGATGCTATTCACTAGTCCCCTTTTCAGCCTCCCTTGACCCTCTATTGCATCCTACTGGTCCCTCTGCCCTCCAAAATAGAAAAATATGGAAGAGTCTTCAAATCTGCATTTCAGTTTCAGTCTACGTTCTGCTGAAGCAAAAACCTGGCCTGATAACTGAGAGGAGAAAGTACAGAAGTCAGAGGAGATACCTTCAGTTCTCCTACCTCACCTCTGGTGAGCCTTACGACACTGGAGGGGCTGGAGAGCCCACCATACTTACACTTCCCAGATTCATTCAACTAAATTAAAAACTAACGTAAAAAACAGCTGGTAAAACTGTGACTGTTGCTCCCCAGGAGAACATGCATCCTCGCAGCAGAATTTCACCTACAAATGCTATTGCTATTAACTGCAAATAATAATTCCAATGTTTTCGGCTTTCTATAAAAGTACATGAGCCATAATATAAACCTCTTCCTACATGAAGAATAAACAAGATTTAGACTATGGTAAAGCTCCATTTGTGTGTAGATATCAAATAATTCACCCACAGTAGAATCATGGCAAATATAGTGATAGATGAGAATGCAGTTAGTGTGTCCAATGTATAATGCTTCCAGAAAAAAAGACCTTGTGTTAGTGAGCAGACATCTAACAAGACATCAAGGTTTCATCATGCTGAAGAATTAGATGGCACTGGTAAATCACTAGAGGGTGATGCTTTTCATGAGAGGGTGCTTTTACTGGACGGCCATTAAGGTTTCCATAGCTAAAGAATATGATGATTTTTCACATAAATGGTCATGGTTCAACTTCACATGGAAATTATAGCATTTATCTATTTTGTATTATTTTTATTTTAGGCTACTGAAGTAAGTTCTACAACTAAAATGAAGCATAGAAAGATAACAGCCACTAGTTTTAGGTAAGTAGAAGTTATTTGGAAAATGTTTATTGGAGTAATATTGCTTGTGATTAAGAATATTGCAAAAATACCACCAATGGCAAAATATTTAATAGTTAATTAAAATGATTATTTTCATTAATATTGGATGAGGGCAAAATTAGAGTTTTCTTAAAGCAGCAACAAAAAATTATCTACTGGATGCAGCTGTTAGGGAAGTAGAAATAGAGAGACCATTCTACCCCATGCAGCATCTGGAAGACTCCATGAACAGTCCCTAAAACGACGGGAACAAAGGCAAGATTACAAGAGATTGGTATTATCAAAACAGTATGACCATCCGGAAAACTACGACATACTATGCAATATCAAGTAAGATAAGTTATGCAAAAGTTATCTGAAACGCACAAAATATAGGATCGGTCATGTGTTCTTTTAATTACAAGGAGAGGGAAAAGCAAAACAGAACCGCCAAACAAATACGGTAAAACCGCCAAGTTTTGGAAAAGCTAGGGAAGCCGGCTTCCCGGTTAGCAGCCACGTACGTGTACACCACCGCACAAAACCAGGCGGATTACAAGGCCTGCTCAAAAAAAAAAAAAAAAAGAAAGAAAAACCGTTACAAAGTGATAAACACCTGGATTTAATTTACACCCCTCGCTTCGGCCAGGACCAGGAAGCCTGGCCAGTCTAGGTTCCCCCAACATCCAGTCGCTCGGCAGAGCTCCTCAGCCCTCGCCCTGGGGACAGCAAGGAGCCCAACTCTCCACGCCACGCGGGAGTCCCGAAACCGCACGGTCACAATCCCGCTGGCCCCAGAGGCGACCGGGCGGGGCGGGGCGGGGCGGGGCGGGGGACTCCGAGAGTTCCGCCGGGACCGGGGAACACGCAAGGGCGCGGGCTCACCAGCTGCCGCACCTCGTCCAAACAGGCCATAGCCCTGGGGAGACGTCGCGGAACGGTGGTCTCAGGCCGGACCCAAACGCACGTCCCCGGCGGCTTCGGAGAGAGACCCGCGGGGCGTGACAAGCGGGGCACGGGGCGTGCCGGGCGAGCCGCAGCCGTTAATGGGCGGGGCGGCCTCTGCCGAGGGCCCGGGGCGGGGCCAAGGCCGGTGGCTGCGGGAACGTGCCAGGGAACGGGCCCGGGCGTTTCCCGCGCTCCGGGCGAGCCTCTCCCGGCTGTGCTCCCCGGGACGTTTTTAGACGAGAAGCCAGTGAGCAGGGAAGTGGGAGGGGACCAAGAAGCAGGGGACGTGAAGAAAACGGTTAGGCACCGCGACGCCCCGCTCAGGCGGAAGCAGTGATTGCTGGCCCCCGGCGCGGAGCCCGGAAGTGGGCGTGGCCTCGGGCCGCAGACTGGCGCAGAGATTGAGGCCCGAACGGAAGTGGGCGTGGTGGGGAGGCGTGTCGACAGGGGGGCCCTGCCCCAGTGAGGCGGTGTCTGCGCTCGCGGGAGGCAGAGTCTGTGAAACTGGCCTCGCGTGCAGCCTGTCGCTCTCCAGGTTCCCCGGGCGCGCGGCTATGGTGTCGGGCTGAGCCGTCCCCGGGGCGGAGGAGCTGAGCTGCGGAATGGAGGGGCCGCTGGAGCCGAGCTCCGAGACGATCCTGCGCTTTCTCGCCGAGCGCGGGGGCCGGGCCCGGCACTCGGAATTGGTGCAACACTTCAGGGACGCCCTGGGCGGCCAGCGCGAGCAGCGCGCCCGCGCCCGCGAACACTTCAAGGAACTGGTCAACGCGGTGGCCACCGTGCGCACCGACCCCGCGGATGGTACCAAGTATGTGCATCTCAAGAAGAGGTTCTGGACAGGGGGATCCCCTCCGCTGGAGGCCTCGATCCCCCTGGACCTACCGCGTATCGAGGTGACTGAGGAGCCTCCAGTCCCGGACCTTCCAGCCGAGCCCTGCGAGGGCAGCCAGCTCCAGGAGGGGGCAGATCCACAGTTGTCTCTCGGGCTGAGTGGCGAAGCGAGCGACCCGGAGCCTCCGATCCCTGCTCAAAGTGGGGCCCAGGGTAAGAACTCGCCACAGGAGGGCCAGGCGGAGGCCTGGGCTTCAGTCCCCGGGCCCAGCGAGAACCTGAAACTCCCATCACACGGCGGTGAGGAGGTTGAAGGGGGCAGTTCCCCCGGTGGGCCGAATACGCCGAGGTCGGCTCGTCAGAACTTTCGGGACCTGGTGATGGGCAGCTCCCCTCAACTCAAGAGGAGCGCGTGCCCGGGGGACGGTAGCTCTGGGAGCATCTCCGGAGGGGGTCGCGGCCGAGGAGGGGGCGACTCCGATAGCGCATCATTGGCTTCGTCATCCGCAGAAGAGGAGAGCAGCGGTGGGGGCGCGGTTACTCTGGATCCCCTGGAGCACGCCTGGATGCTCTCGGCTTCGGAGGGCAAGTGGGACAGCCTAGAAGGGCTGCTCACTTGTGAGCCCGGCCTGCTATCGAAGCGAGACTTCATCACCGGCTTCACCTGTCTCCACTGGGCCGCCAAGCACGGCAGGCAGGAGGTCCTGGCTATGTTGGTCAACTTTGCCAGCAAACACCAGCTGCCAGTGAACATCAACGCCAGGTCGAGCGGAGGCTACACTGCCCTCCATTTGGCGGCCATGCATGGGCATGTAGAGGTGGTGAAATTATTAGTGGGGGCCTACGACGCAGATGTGGACATCAGGGACTACAGCGGGAGAAAGGCCTCTCAGTACCTGAGTGAGAGCATCGCAGAGGAGATCAAGAACCTGGTGGGAGCCATGGACGAAGATGATGGGGACAGTACCACCGGCCGCGGGAGTGGGCGCTGGAGACTTTCGAAGGTGCTCCCGTCGCACCTCATCACTTACAAACTCTCGCAGGGCGTGGAAGATGGAACTGAACATCACCATCACCACCACCACCACCACCACGTCGCCGAAGGATGGCCCGCAAGCAAAGCAAAAGATTCAGGTCGCAAAGCCTTGGGCAGCTCCAGTGGACGGATAAAACCACGACTCAACAAAATCCGATTCCGAACCCAGATCATTCACACCACACCCTCATTCAAGGATACGGAACAGCCCCTGGAGGAAGGGGAAGAGGAGGAAGAGGAAAGGTCTCTTAAAGGCTACTCATCTTCCTTCAAACTGAGACCGAAGTCCAATGTATTTGGGTAAAAAAATAATCCGTGCTAGAAATGCTAAGGTTTAGCTGTCTTCAAGGTAGAATAATACTGGCTGTGGATAAGAAAGTGGAACCAGAAAAGACAGGATAAAATTACGAATTTTAACTTGTGAGCTTGGGGTGGATCCGTAGTAATCCTTTCAGGATAGCCATTCTGGGGCAGGAGAATGTCTTAAATGATTCATAATCCATTGATTTGTGCCTCTTCCCCCACCCCACCCTTGTAACCTGGAACGTGTGAGAACTGGAATGGATTGATGACTAAGAGCTGCTTTGCTTTAACCATTACTAGATACCATGCACAGTAAGGACTGTCACACTTTCACGTCTGTTTTTCCAAGTCACTCTTAGGACATCAGAAAATGCAAACTCTATGCTAATGGAAACTGAGCCTAGTCATGTTTGTCAGTGAACCAAACTACAGGCTGCCCTGATTTCTGACTGTTCAGTTCGCACTTGCTCCTTAAGGTGCTAACGAAGGTCCAGGTCAGAGTTGAAATGTGAAACTGCAAATGAGAATTAACGTGAGTCGAGCTGGGAACCCTGTTGGTATCTTACTTATATTGTAAGCAGCAGTTCCCATTTTTCAAAAGGAATTTCAGTTTTAATCACTGAACTAAAGAAATAAGCAGCATTTGCTTTTGAGTTATTGTAATATGGTTTGTGCCCATATAACACTATTCAGTATACGGTACATGATTAATCACAAATTTTTATTTAAATAGAACACTTAGCAGCCTATGGTACTTTTTTTAATGTGTGTCTTGATGAGCACTAACTTGTTTTGCTACTCTGAAATTCTCACCTTTCTGGGGTTTGTACTCTGGTGATTCTTTTTGATGAAATTTACGGTACTTAGACTGATTTACATATTACTTAACAAATCTTTTCTTGTTTAGAAAATAGCAGAAATCAGTATAAGTATTAATAAGCCTATGCTTCTGTGAAGTAGTTATTAAATCAACTTAATATGGTTCTCATAGAAGAGATATTTAATTTTATTAATACATTCACAGTCTATGCTTCATAGCAACATTTTACAAATGTTCAAAATCTTTCACTTTTCTTACATTTCTTCATATCTACTCAAAGAGCTGTCTGTGGTGTAGTTACTGAAAAGCTAGATAGTTTGCCCATTTAAAAATGGGCAGATTTATTATACCTTATAAAAGGAAAAAGAAACGGAACCATTTGTGTATTTCAATGCTGCTAGCCATTGCATTTCCTTATATATAAATGGAAAAATACTGTTCCTTAAAATTAAAGACTTTTATAACTGTGATCCTTAATTACATTCCATTCATTTGTATTTGAGTAAATGGCTTTATAATCACTTTAAAATTTAACTCACAAACGTATTAAGTCTTGTAACAGGATTAGAAACTTCTGTAGGAGACTGATTTGACCAAATCCTCTCTTCGTCTTTCTGGTCTGATTGCTGAAACCTAAGTTGTTAGAGCCCTACAAGATAGAGGTGGGAGTGAACAGCCCAGCCCAAGAGTGAGGAGACTGCATGGTTGTACAGAGCTGCAACATTTTGTTAACTTTCCCAAGTCATAGACATTTCCAACAGATTTGTCACATCTCTCTCAAGATAGCAGGTAAAATTGTTTAAATATACTCATATGAAATACATTAGTTGTGGCTAAGGAGATGACTCAGTGGGTATGAGCACTTGTTCTGTAAGCATGAGGACCTGTGTTTGAATCCCCAGCACCCATACAAAAGGCTAAGCCTTTATATGAGGATGCCTGTAACCCAGCACTGGGAGGTGAGACAGGCAGATTCCCAGAGCCCAGGGGCCGGCCAGCCTGCTTCAAACAGTGACTTCCAGTTCAGGGAGAGACTGTCTCAAGGCTATAAGGAAGACATAGAGGAAATCACCTGACATTCAACTCAGGCCTCAGAATAAGCACACACGGGTGCTCCCAAACATTCTCGTGCCTACACTACACACACACACATAAGTTGTTATCCTCTTATGTGCCTTTATCTTTGTTTTAGGATTTAAGAAGTAGATTGTGTACATTGATAAGCACTTTTTCTGTATATAAGTGAAAAGCCAATGTAAAAAGCAATCATGTGTTCCATGTATAGACATTAACTATATCTAGTGCAGAATAAACTTACAATTCCCATCAAGGACTTTTAAATTCCATTTAAGATAAGGCAACTATACAAGTAGATGTTTCAGAACCACATAAAGGTTCTAGTAAACAGTCATTTTTTAATCCCTTCACATGTATGTTAGTAATTAATTGAATAAAATCTATAATTTTCTAGATTTTTAGATACCAAGTTAATACATCATTTAACTTTCTCTTTACACTAAAGGTTTAAAACTCTGATAAAACATTTAAATTGAGTCATTCCTGGGCTGACCAGACAGCTAGGCAGATAAAAGTGATTGTCTTACAAGCCTGAAGAACTGAGTTTGACCCTAGAACCCACGGTGGAAGGAGAGCTAACTCCTGAAAGCTGTCCTGTGACCTCCACATGTGTGCCACGGCATACGCATTCCTGTACTCACATGCGTATACACACAAATGCAAAATTAATAAATTCAATTTTAAAAAACCAAAAAGAGGGAACTCCTAGCATTCCTTGTCATAATGCACTTTGTACAGTAAGTATAACATTTCAAGCTACTTAACTCCATTCCTCTTACTTTTCAATTTCCAAATCAAGAGTAGAAAAAATGATTTGTATAATTTGATAATCATGAAGTCGTATCTCCCAGTAGTGGCAATATATCAAATACAGGCATCTATTAACAAGAGACTGTATAGTTTAAATGCGAGTTTGTTCACGTGTCCTTCAGGTACGCTTGTAACTGAATGTCAGTTGGCTTTTATGGTATGTAAAATGCAGTAAACTGTGGTACTAGTTTATTCACACCTGAAATATTGGAATATGATGTTTGTCTTTTGCTTTTTAAGTAAGTCAAAGTTTGTGAATTTAAGAATCGGTAAATTTTGTCAAAATAAAATGTTCATGGTAGAAATCAAATTGTCTAAGTTTCTTTAGCTACTTTACATGAGTATTGTTTTATGGTTTGCAAAATACTTTTCAAAGTTTCAATTTTTTCTTTTAATTCTTTTCCTACTCGCAGAGGATATGGGTTGCAGTGTCCTTAATTATAAGTGGAAAATGAAGGTACAGGGCCTCGAGTGTCTTCCTTGCTGAAACTTTGTCTTTCCTGTACATGAAATTGTCATTTTTTTTTTTTTGAGAAACTGCTATAGTTTGGCAGCAGTGATGAATGAGTCTCTTTGAACAAACAACAGGACCTCTACCTCTACCTTTAAAAAAGAAGAAACATGGAGGCTGAGAAATGGCTCCATCAGTACAGCAGGTGTAGATAGAGGCTAACCTAATCAAGGTAATCCCTCCCAGGCATGCCCCACTGCTTGTGTCCTGGGTGGGTCTAGATCCTGTCAAGTGAATTAATGTTAAAGATCATGAGGTGAATCTCAAAATTAAATACTTGAGTAATTTGCCGGAAACCAGGGTTCTTTTAAATTATGCCAATTGTAGGAAGTATAAAACTAGAGATCATGTTAATCTAAATAAGATATACTTGGAGAAGTGTTTCATGTTTTCACTCATGCAGAATCTAGATTATGTATATCCATAGAGTTATGTGTATATATGTGTATATATATATATATATATATTTCTAATAGTCATATATATATATAGACATGCACATGAAAGTAGAAGGGAAATTATTAGAAGAAAGGGAACTAAGGAAGGGAGAGGGGAACAAGAGAGGGTCATGGGTGAATATAAGCCAAGTATACATTCATTACACATGCAAAAATGTCATGATGGCACCTGTTAGTTTATGTGTTCATTAAAAAAATGAGAAGGGGTCTGGAGAGATGGTGTAGCAGTGAAGAGTGCTTGCTGCTCTTCCAGAGGACTCCTTCTTAAGTTCAGTTCCCAACATATCTGGCAGCTCACAGCTGTCTATAACTCCAGCTACCAGGGGATCCACCACCCTGTACTGGCCTCTCAGTGTGTACCCATACACACACACATATGTGCACATGCGCTTTTTAAAAGGAATGGGAAACCAACCACAAAGCGGTCCTTGGTGACGAGGTATCTTTATAAGATACCTAATGTTGGTGGGTTGGGTGATGATTCCACGTGAACTTGTTTCTCAAGATACGGTGGTGGGATTGTTTCTACGCCGGTTCCTCTTTCATGCTGCCATACACTTTTCCCTGGATCATCTTTCTAAATGTCAATTTCGTCTCAAGCAGGGACTTTCCTCTTCTGTTTATCAGTTTCCTACTTTTCCCTGTTAATGTAGTGTTGAGGAACCTTGAAGCAAGGACCTCACCCTAGCTTAGTGCCTTTCACATTAAGTAAGTTGTGTTTCATGCTGTGTAAGTAGCTCTTTCAATGGAAGCATTTACTACTTCATAGCATTAACCGTGTGGATAATTCAATAACAGACATGCTAAGAGAAGAAGTATTTTTCATGCAATACAGCTCTTAAATGCCAGCCAACCACCTCATCTGCTACTCAACCAAAAGAACAGTCATTTATTCCAACCCTGGAGGTAAAATCAGCTTTATTAGGATTTTTCTATGTGAGCAATTTAAAAGATTCAACGACTAAGTTCAATTATAAAAAAAAAAAAAAGTGCCTTATAGGATGACTCAGTTGCATACTCTTGGCATAATATGCTAGTTAGCCTTTTTTATTACTCTAAGTACAGTTGAGTGTGGAAATAGCTACTGATAATGTGGAAACCCTACCCCCCCCCAAAAAAAAAATGGGATAGGAAAATGAAGCTTAGTGTATCATAGAGAACTTTGGGAAAGAGGGCATTTTTTTTTTGTTTATTTTTTTCACAATATGTACATATACTTCATAGATACATACAAACATATATATCCATGTGTGTCTTTGACTACATTGCTCCTCATAGTAAAATTTCTAATAGTCATTTTAAACATGGCGATGGGTTACCTCAAGACACAACACTCACGTCTTTGAAGATAACAAGCCAGGGCCTGGAGAGATGGCTCAGCAGTTAAGAGCACTGCCTGCTCTTCCGGGGGACCCAGCTTCAATTCCCAGCACCCACATGGTGACTCAAGTTACCACCTGTAACTTGAGTGCCAGAAGATCCAGTGCCCTCTTCTGACCTCCGTGGGCACCAGTCACACGTACATACATGCAAGTAAAGACTCACACACATAAAAATAAGCAAATCTTTTTTAAAAAAAAAAAAAAAAGAAAGAAAAGAACAAGCCAGAGCCCTGAAAAGTAAAAATTAATCATTTTATTTGTCTGTTTGTTTGGTTTTGGTTTTTTGAGACAGGGTTTCTCTGTGTAACAATCCTGGCTGTCCTGGACCTCACTTTGTAGACCAGGCTGGCCATGAACTCCAGAGATCCACCTCCCTCTGCCCCTGAGTGCTGAGATTAAAGGTGTGTGCCACCTCCACCTGGCAAAAAATAATCATTTTAAAGCGTGCTTTTCTTGACTTTTTTATTTTTAACCAAAGGTAGCCTGATACAGAATGACACGAACCAGTTCTTCACAAACCGGGTGAAGAAGGACCATAGAAATTCATTTTGGGTTTTTTTTTTTTTTTAGCCAACTTGATGTCATTCAATCAAAACGTGGAAGTCCTCATTAGAATGCCTTTCTGGGAGCTGCAAATGCAGCTCAGTAAAAAGCATGCCCAGCATGTTCAAATGTCTGATGCCCAGTGTGGAACAACCACCACTCCAACAACAACCTTTTCTGGGTCTCTTCGCTTGCTATTTAGTAAATAAAACTAAGCATTCTTGACAGTGGTCTGGAAATTTCCCATACAGGTAACTGATCTAGCTTGCCTCTGAGAGGAAAAAAAATTTTCCCCAGTGATGTGTCCAGCCTCCTGACATTATCAGTAGTTCACACCAAAGAACTGCACAATTGAGTAACTAAAAACAAAAAACACGAAAATAAGGTTCAATATTTTAAGTCAAGTTACGATTTTGTGTTAGGTTGAACTACCTGCCTGCATAGCCGCAACTTCTACACATGTATGTATGTATTTTCTTCAGGTCTCTAGCTAGAGTGAGCGCGTATGTATAATACATTTGAAAATTTTATGGGCATTATGATTACCTGTAAAAGCAAAGCCTTTGTAGCTGAGAAGCGTCCCCTATGCTAGCCACTCAGCCTCAGCTCAACAATCCAGAGCCGCACACCTCTGCCATGACTCACCCATCCTGAGAGGCAATGTATCACGGCTTTCATCTTTCCTGGGTCAGGGACTGGGCAGCCAAGGACAACTCTGCAGTTAAAGCCAGCAGCATTATTTACAATAGCTCTTCCAATCTGTCTATATTTTCTTAATGAAGCCTCAGCAACAGTTCTCCCATTGTTTAACTCTCTTTAATACTCTCTAAATGGCTGGTTCATGGGCGCTTGGTTGAAGCTACCAGAACTGTTAGAGGAGCACAGATTTAAATGTGAAGGCAATTGTATTGCCAAACTTATTCTTTATACAATTCTCTGATTCTTCTGACACCCTATCCTCATGGCTTTGGGGAGAGAGGGAATGAATATAGTTAACGTAGCTGTCCTGGTAAGGATGAAGGTATTCTAAAGAGACACTTGTATCCCTCCATTTGTCTGTAAGACTGTTGGTACAACAACCTCAAGAAATTGAAATTTCTCTAAGAATCGGTATGCTAGGTGAAGGAAAAGGAAGGAATCTGGTACCAACCAGAGTGGGGAGCTTGTCTTTGATGTCATATGGTGCTGACTTGGCAGACCACCTAACAGAAGAACCTGGAATTCTTGATGATAATGCCCAGGACCACACTGTGGAAAGGACTGTGTAGCTGTGCACAGCTCTTGCTATTAACCACCTGAAGATGGAGTACACATGGTCACTGAACTTCTCTGTTTATTCTTCTTCTCAGTGTAGGTCTTTCTCTGTCACTTCTCTGTAATCGGCCTGTTGAGGCGGAGTAGCAGAGTCTAGTTCTTGGGGCTGCCAGAGACCAGGCTATAATTCTAACAACTCCAGTAATAAGACTACTTCTTCAGCATGAACCATGAGGCTCAGAGCAAGACCTTGTAAACAATAACAACCAGGCCAAAAACAAAGAAACAAAAGGCAATCTGAGAACTTTGAGCCCTGAATCCACCTCCTTTCCTTGTCTTCAGAAACATCATGTTCCACACTGGTGAGGTTATTCACCAGTTATCGCCTAATGGACCTTTCCTGAGCAATTAATTGCCCTGTGAGGAAATAGCCAGGATTTCTTTCAAACTCCGAGTCAGATCCATGCAACCGAGGTCTGTTTCTAGAGAAGACAGCTTATACACTGGCTGCATGAATATCTAGGAGAACCTAAAAAGAAATAAAATACTGGAATTAGCTGTATCTGTTGATACAGATACTAACGTCCAAGATTTGGGTATCATATGCTGCCTTGAAGAGTTGCATATAATGCTATAATGATTGGTTGGTTGACTGAAACCTGAGCCCAGCATTTAACAAAGTAGGCTGTCAAAATGTCCCTGGTATAACCAAAAGGGAGGAATTCAAAAGATTTAATATGAGAAAGTTGAAAGGAATTTATCTCTTGTGTTTCTCCTGCCTGTCGCCTGGTTGTATCTTTCAGGAAGACCCTAAAGACACCCTCCACCAAGGCCGTGAGGGAAAAATAATGTTGGGAGTAGGAAGGTCCGGTAGCCTCGAAAAGCACTGTGCGAAAGACAATGGGACATTGTCCTCAAAGGACACTTTCTGATTCCGTGAGAAAGATGGGATCCAGACTCATAGTGTTCAGCCACCAGTGCTCACCTAGCAGGCAAGGTGGGTGCAATCACTATGCCATTCAAAGAATAAAGACCGTGCAGGTATGAACCACATGGATCACAGTTACCTTTGGAATAAAGCCAATGGCACTCTGCCCCAGCCCCCCAAAGCACAACTTAGCCTATGGACACATAGGGGTAGGTCTAGACACAGAAACATAAT